CAGCATACCCATCTTTCCACTAATGCACTTTAGTACAGAGAGCAGACTCAGATTGTACTTGTGCTGCTTTCTAGGGCTCATACCATCAGACCTGTGAAAATAAGACACAGGAATAAAAAAAAAGAGCAAGAATTTTAAAACATGATTTTGGGTTAGATGTTGTTGTTTTAGCAAGTTCTACATTTTATGTCCTCATGACTGCAAAACTGTGAAAAAACACTTGTAAGATTGGCCCTAGATTTCAGATGAGGTCTCTCTTTTATACCTCATTTCTGAATCCCACAGTACACTATTTTCAGTTCTCAGGTGTAGCATGAAGCCACTCAAATTTTCTCAGCCTCAGCAAACTGAATTTCAACCTGTGACAAGAGCCATGAAGCTGAAAACAATACAGGTACAAAAATGTAAGAGAAGCGTTGCATTTGATTTCAGACATTTACTTACTTAAAACCTGATATACCACATAACTCATTCCACACATGCATTTTCTCTCCTTGCAGTATAAAAAGCATGAAAGAGCTATTATTCTGAGCTTTGTGCACTGTTGTTAAATATTTAAGAATCCAATCATAAATTACAACCCTGCCTTTTTCACTTGACCTCCTCTACACGTGCCCTTACAAACACAGCAACTGAAACTTCCATTGTGCAGTGAAATAAGCAGGTTATCACTGGCTGGTTCAATTACTCCGATGTCCTCCCGTCCCTTTGCAAAGTCCTCTCTCCTGTTTTCCATAGTGGGCACTGCTGAGCTCTAGAAGGCAGTACAGAGACAGCACAAACTGTGGATAACTAGAGTGAATCCTGATGCCTCAAAAAGCACAGGTGGACAGGCATTTCTCATAAAACAGTTACACTAAATCAGCTCCAAACCAGTAGTTGTACTCTTAGGGAAAAGGTGAACAACATAGATCAAAACAGTCAGTGCTCCTTGGTAGAGCACCAGGCTCAAACATGAGGATAGGGAAGATGCTGCCCTCTCCAGCATGACACTGCTTTTGTTGATGGCTACAGCACTGCTGCTACAATGAGGCAGCATCACCGTGTGTTCTCTATCCCCACCTTCCCACTGCAAGACTGACTCTGTCTGGATTCCTATCTGGATTAGTAACCACATGAGTAGCTAGCAAGGAGAGAGAATGCTGACCAAGCTGCCAATGCCATTTTGGCAAGTCTTGTACACTGTATCAAGGTGACACAAGTCCTCCTCACCACTGCCTCCCACCATGGAGATTTCAGACCACCTGAGAGGCAGGTGCCACAGATGGAGGTGCCACTGTGGCAGGGAGAGGGCACTGGGCTATTCCTGTGACTTCCAGTGATATTCCTCTGTACACAAGCTCCACTCAAACGCACATGCCAAGGTGCTGCCGCTCTGCTCTGTTACACAGGACAGATGCAGCTGGCTTGAGGATCCCAGAAGGAGCGTGCCAGCTGCACACAGTAGAGGGAAGAAGAGGTGCTGCAAGCCTACAAGACAGGGCCTGGAGAAGGAGCTATCCAACATCTGAACTGAGCACAGCTCTCTCCACAATACCCAACAAGGGTGAGTGCAGCCACTGCAAGCTATTATGGCCACAACAAATAACTGACTGAGGTGCAGAACATCTGTCAGGAACAGCTCTAAGGAGAGTTGCTAGGACAGGGTCAAAAACCCCTTCAGAGGCCAGGAGTGCGAGCAGCTGGCTGAGCTACCTGTGAAGGTAAAAAGGGAGCAGAAAGTGCACATCAAAGCTTTTTATCAGAGTAAGAATCAAGAGAGGATGTGACAGGGAAAGAGGGTACAACTATGTCTGGATGCATGAAGAAGTGGAGAATTATTGCAAAAGGAGAGAAATGCGTAATGAGCAAAGCGTTAAAAGGTCACATGGGATTCTCAGATGAGAGACAGAGTAAGACATCCATGAATAAGACATGTCATTATTGCAGGACATTCACAGTTTTAAACGGGAAAGCAGGACTGCATGGGATAGTCAGGTAATCTGGATCTGGAGTAGAATGAGTATAATGACAGGCAAATACACAGCTTGGATCTTCCTCCCTTTCAAAGAGAAACACTGTTCTTCAGATTTCCAAACTTTCACTTCAGAAATGACTGGCAGCCACAGGAAGGAAAACAAATATGCTCTTATGAAATTTTAGCACCTACTACAAGTCTGGCTGGTGTGTTCCTGGATCAGCTCTTCCATTAAGAAAAAAAGTAACCAAAGAGAAAAACACCCAGAGGCTTAAAGATAAAGTTTAGATAATTTTTTTTATTACACATATTAATTTGTTTACATGGAACATGCATCTATTTCTTTTGAAAATAGTTTTAACATTAATTAATATTACCCTCTGTCTGATTGGCTGTCTTATCTAGTTCATCCACATAAATGGTGCCAGACACATTCAATATGTTTAATATAACAGTAATTCAGTTTCACTCCATGAACTCTCTCTACTACTTTAAAGTAAGTGTCAGAGCAGTTAATTTTCACAGTCCTCGGGGCATGGACAGATACTGCATTGTGCCTTGAACCACCCAAAACTTCATGGAATGCAGCTGTAACCTCTGCCCAGTACCTTGATACATTTACACATAATACTTTTCTTTTGTCCACAGTTGCATTAAGACTCATGAAGTTAACTCATGCTGCTAAGTAAAAATGCTGACAAAAATTATTTTTCTGCTCTGAAGAAATTTGGTTTTTATACTTGCATGCATTTCTTGAACATAAAATTGCTCTACTCAGGCATAGCCTGCCTGAAGAACAATATAAAATGGCACAAATAACATAATTATGCTTTTAAATACATGGCTTTTTCTTTATATTTTCAGTTGGAATTTAATACCCCAGCAGAGCACACTGGAAAAAACCATTCAGGATTCATTTCTCTGTAGGCATCTGAAAGTCCTTTAGAAGCAATTAATAAACTCATTCAAATGTACACACATTTCTCCTGCTGCTTAAGGAGATATTGGAAGTAAAGCACTCTTTCAAGGAAATTGTTACTGTTTTGTTAGTAAAGTGCTGTAACTGTTCTCTGCAAAATGTGTAACTGGGGTTGAAAAAGTCAGTTTTCTGGCCAGTGCCTAGATGTACCTAACTGAATCTGACAGCATTAGACACATACAGGTTGAATTCTTTTTGCCAGCAAGGCTCCATATCTGCAGTAGCATGCACTGAATTAAGTCTAGAAGGAAAGGGAAGGTAAAAACAAAGGTTTGCTGGCATGCAAATTCCTACCACAAAAATCTTGGATTGTACTGCTAGTTTATCAAAGCAATACTCTTTTTTTTTCTTTCTTAGTAATGGGAGACTGTTCTGAGAGACTGTAGAAATAAAACACGCAGGTGAGAAACCAAAGAAAAAAGTGACTTGAGAATTGAATACAGGTAGAATTTTAAATTCTCTCACTAGCCAATAGTCATCCAGAAGAAGAATTCATTCAAAATTCATTCAAGACCTGGGGAAGTAACAGAGCTGCTGACCCAAATATACATTAGCAAAACACATTTAGTGACCTAAATTTTTAATACACACTGAGAGCATCTGTGTTTACTCATCTTACTAGTCAGAGAAGGCAAAAGATTCACATGTATACACATCACTATCCAGCTACCCAGAATCTGATACTGTTTTCCATCAGCTCTACAAAACAAGAAATTATCCAAATTCTGTATCATATGGAGGTCCTGTTTAGTGAACAGGAGCTCCCATCATAGTAGCTATACAGATGAAGAAAGAAAATTACTTTAAATAAGAGTCTTATGCTGTAGACTTAATACTGACTTCTAAAACTCCCGAGAACTGAGCCACAGATCTATTTGTTTCAGCCATGCATCCATTGGGACAGCACATGCACAACACTTGCCAGAAAGGCTCTCATTCACAAACATCATGAACTCAAATTTCCCACTGTATTCCTTTACATACAAACTCATTTGCAGCCAACATTGCCTCTTTTAAGTGTATTTGTCTAAGACAGATTTTAACTGTTTTTATTAGGAATTAGGAAGCCTATTTTTTTCAGTTAGTTTCAATGAGCATATGTCTCCTACTTATTTCATCTCCATGGTTTATAGATGACATAAAATGTTTCCTAAACATTCTGAGTTTGCAGAAATATTTGTACCACCTGCTTAGTCCTGTGTCACAAAGCCATGAGGTTCTTTAGAAAACAGAAGGAAGATTATAAAGGTTAGCAAGACCTGTCCACACTAAATGTCTCTGGCTGACCCAAACATCATTCGTAACTCGCACGAAAAGTTTCTTCTCTTCTTTGGACGCCAATAAACTTTATCAAGAGAGAGATATGAACAGCTAAGTAAGCCGTAACTGTTGCAATAGAAAATGCTCTCTTTAAGTGAATGAGTGCCGTGTCTGCAAAGCTGCAGAAATATTTTAGCGGATCCAATTTTAAGCGGCTCTCGGTGGATCTAGATGATGCAGCTCTCCAGGGCAGGGGTGGCGATGCCGGCTCCGGCTCGCACCGTCCCGCTCGTGCCCGGGAGGCAGCGCCTGCAGCCCCACCGGGCAAGGGGGACGCCGGCGGAGCAGGACACACAGAAATACCTCAGCCACAACAAACCTCGATGGCACTAACTTAACACACTTGTCAGCCAGCTACCTGACTGACCGCGACACGCCTAAAGCCAGCAGGAGGAGAAAGCGGCCGCCAACATCCCAACCGTAAGGAAAGCCAAGGGGATGACGGCTCGGGATGGAGGACGGGGCGCAGGGCGAGGACTCCCCGCGGGCCGGTCGTGCCGCGCTCCTCGGCCGAGCCTGGGGCTGCCACAGGCGGCGGGCACCGGGCACCGCTCACCGCGCTCCCCTCACCGGCCGTGCCCCGGCCCGCCGCTCCCCTCGGGCTCTCCCCGCCCCGGGCGCCGCCCGCCCCAGTTCGCGCTGTCCCCGCGCCGGCTCGGCCTTCCCGCAAGGGGAGCGCAGCTCCGGGCGGCAGGGACGGGACCCCCGCGCCGCCCCGGAGGGCTCTGTCCCGACGAGACTCACCGCGTGCCTGCGGCTCCATGGCAGCGCGGGGCTCGGCCGTGCGTGCTCAGGCGCGGAGCCCGCTCGGAGCCCGTTCGGGCGGCGCTGACAGCCGGGGCCGCGCCGCCGCCGCCCCCCGCCCCCGCCGCTCCCGCTCCCGCCCCCGCGCCGCCGCCGCCCCGCGGCGCCCCCTGGCGGCCAGGCCCGGGCGGCGCCGCTCCCGGCCCAGCGCCCCTCTGGCCCCGCACAGGCACCGTCCCGGGCCGGCCCCGCGGCGCCCCCGCTGTTCCTCGCCAGCGCCCAGCGCCTCCGGATGTCACGGCTGTGCCTTGCTGAGGGCAGGCACCCGGCACTGCCCCCAGGGCAGCCGCAAGGCACTGGCAGCACGGGCTGCTCCCCGAGCAAAGGCGTGCCTGGTGTACCAGCGGCACGGTGCAGCGGTCAGGGCCTGACGTGAATGAGTTCAGGGCTTATCTGAGTTCCTGTGCGTGTCAAGTTCTGCTACCTCCTATGGCACAAGCATGGGAGCACATGCAAAATAATGACAGAACCTATGCTATCATGTATACTTAGCAAGTAAAAATTGGGTTTTTTTCACAGCACATGTCCTGTGCTGGCATCCTATTGTGATATGGTGACCACACGCAGTTCACACTGCAGCACTGATTTACTCTAGGTTTGCTCGTGCCAACATAACTTCCACACTCTGTTACCAGTCCACGTCAACTTCACTCCTGGAAGGGTCCAGAATATTGTTTTAGCAAGGCTGCCTTCTCCACGGCTGATTATCCACATATTTATCAGTCAGACACTGTATCTAATTTGAGTGTATGATACTACTTAGTCCCTCCAGGACACACTGAGGACGCATAGCTTCTCAAGGCCTGTGCTACTAAAAATTACAAAGCTAGACAGTAAGGGCAGATGAAAGAAATATTGGGCATTTGTTTGTGAAATTATACAAATGGGTCATACTTTGATTGAAGAAAATTATCTGAAAGAAAATTATTATGTGGTTTGGTCAAAGAAAAAAGACCTTTTATAGCTAAGAAATAAGAGTTCCTTTTTTCCTTAAAATTCTGCAGCAAAGCATCAAAATGACTAATTTCTCACCTTTTTTTACTAAAAAAAATAGAAAACTAAGGCCAAAGCAGCTTTAATTTGTACATATCTAATGAGGTTTTCCTTTAATACACACACACTTGTGGGTTTGAATTTTAATTTCCGTAAGGCGTGAATTATCATTATTTTTTCCTAGGCAAACCTCTCTTCATTGTGATTTGACATCTCCTTGAGCTGGAATTTACCACTGACAAAAGCAGAACAGAGGTTGTCAGAAGAATGAATTCCTGCACTCATGTCATTTCACATGCAGAGACATCTTACTGTGACAAGATTTGAGCTCAGAAATGCTGGCAACTTTTACATGAAAAAAACACAAAGCCAGGTCCAGCCACAAATGCATTAAATCCTTGAGAAATTTCTCTCAACACGTGAAATTATCAGCATAATTAGAAAATGTACTTTTCTGCAAATACAGGCAGGATTTTCTAAAGCAGCCTATGCAGTTCCTATGAAGCATGATGAAAAATCAGCACCCTATCTGCTTACAGGGCTACAACAGTATTAACAATACTGTTTATGTACAAACCTAATTACAAATCTTACAGCAGCATTTGCCTGAACAACAGGAAATTTTACCAGATGCTTATATGCTGAGTTTGATTTATCCTTTACATTTAGATACATTACTTCTTTTTCCACAGCAGGAATGCCCTCTACTGTAAGGAAAATCCAACCAGTGTTTTACCTAACAAGTTATGGTGAACAACAAAACTAGTTCTGCATTTAAGAGAGCTATAAATAGGGAAACAAACCTGTAAGTCTTGAGTTCCACAGTATTATGTTCATCTTGTGGTATGTTTGATAGGAAAAAGAAACCAGTAATAACAATATCCTCCTGAAACATGCAGCTAGGAAGTCAGCATTTTAAATGTGGACTTTATTAGAAAGTTACTATCCCATTGAAATGACACAATTTAATTGTAAAATAGCTGATTAATTTTCTGCCTACAGTACAACAGGATGCATTTTCATATTGTCCCAATATATCACTGATTTAGTGAGATTCCTCATCAAATTTGCCTTGCAAGAGATTTTGTTTCACTTCAATGTCTGAAGAGACTGGCATAATTCAGACTTTGTTTTCTGTTTTGAAAGGGCTCTATCAAGTTGTAGGAGCTTAGTTGTTGCTTGAGAAAGGTCATTGTCTCTCCCATCATGCTGAAATTAAAAACAGTTGGGTTTTGTTTGGTTTTTAAGAGGTCAGACAGAATAAAACAAAAGCCAGATTATTTTATTTTTGAAACAATTATGTATCACCACACACTTCAGATGACACCATTTTCACAATAAAGCAGCAATGGGCTTCAAATAAACGTATTGTGTTTATGTCATTGCACTGACTGGTTCTTGTCCTCTAACACAAAAGTGACAACATCCAGTCTCGTGCCAGCCTTCAGTGGGTGTCTCTCTTCTTGGAGGGAGCAACTACAGCATTTTGCAGATGGGGATTAAGGCAGGATTCTGCATGATAATGATATCCTAAACTCTTACCGATTTTCCATGGAAAGTAATGGGAAAAAACTACTGAATAATTCACACAAGTGCAAACCATCTAAAGACTGTGAAATACCAGTGGGATTTGTTGACCCTAAAGGCCAGTGATTGTTTAGCAGGATGGACTATGGCATGGGCATACATGTACTTTGGAGAAAAGATGGCAGGCTGCAGTGAAGCACAGCATTGCAATTGTGATACAAAGCTAGATTCCAGCAGCAGGTTAAATCTTCATAGGAATATGCCATGGATGGAAAAGCCAAGGATATGCTCCATGTCTTCTTGTACAAGGTTCAAAACCCATGTGTTCACACAAGACTTTACAATTTATTTCCTTCCATTCAGATGTCACTGAGTTCTTTGCCAAATGCACTATGCTAAATGTTTAGTTCTTAGAATATTGTGGGTTCTGATATTTGAAAGAAATACTGAAAATTAAAATAGAATATGCTTAATCTTCTTTCAGAGTTTTTCTTCAACCTTTAGTAAGTTCTTTTGATTTTAATCTCTTATTCTTTGTATACTTAATGCCTAGGGCAATGTTGCAATATAGAACATGAAGTGTGAAATGAGGTGTTACTACAGTGTACAACAGTGAGATGTTACTTGCTTTGTGTATTTTACAGACAGGAATTTTAGTTTAGCCTGCGGTTTCATAGAGTGGGATTCCAGCTCCATGGGTCAAAAGGTACTAGAACAATACTAGAAAGACATTAGAAACACTATAAAAAATAACACTGAGCTAAATTATACAAATACATTTTTAGAGAACAATTTTACACACACTAGACCTTACCTCTTAACAGTAACTAAAATTTTAACTCCATTTTCCACTGGTGCTAGAGTAAGAGGGAATGTGCCTGAAGCACCCCATAAGCTCATGAAGGTGAACTCTGATGGGGACTCAACCACATTCCTCAGGAGACTGTTCCAGTGATTAATTACTCTCATTGTAAAAAATGTCTTTCTAATAGCAAGATGAAACCACTCCTGGAATCTCTTCCAAAAACTCTCTCCTTTACCTTCTTTGGTAAAAAAAAATAATGTGTAGCAGAGGACAGGGCTGGGTCTGAAGACATAATGGAAATAAGAAGCATTACATTGATTTTATCACATATGTGTCTACCATAGGACAATATTTTCCTTTACACATGTATCTGATCTGTATATGAAGAGATAGTTCAGCAAAACAGAATTTTGAAATAGGTTTAGGAGATATTCTGAAGTTTTCTTACAGGCTGTAAGGATGCATATACTAGGAACATGGAATTATTTGGAATACAATCTAAGCATGTATTTATTTTACCATCATATATTTCATATTACCTGTAGCTGGATGTCAGGCCAGGCCTGCAGCAGAAGACAATTCTAACCAAAAAAAAGGCTGAACAGATTGCTCTTTAGTGATTTAATCTGAACTTGAAATTTTAAATTTACATTTTTATCAGCAGATTTTCATGATTGTCCTAATGGTTCTGAAACTAATTTCCCAATTATCTTAATGGTCTTGATGATAAAGTAGTTTCATTTTTACTTTTCCTATCATGAAATGTTTTTTTTTTTTTTTCTCCAGCTGTAACTAGCAGAATGTAAGAATGAACAAACAAGCCTTTTGTGTTACTTTTGAGTGTGCTTAACTTTGTATGAAACATGCTCTGTGATAGAATCAGGAGCAGAAGATTATTTTATTATTATTGATAGGAATTAAAAATATCTGCTTGATTCTTAGACAGCTCTGTTTTCCTTCAAACATCCTGACTTCTCATAACTGGGATTAGTGGAACTGAGCTTTGCATCAGTGATCCAGCATTGATCACTATGCTCTAATGTCAGAGAATCTGAATCAAGATCCTTTTCTGATGTCAATATCTCAATTAAAATAATAAAGTTCTGATAACTCAATGCAGCTGTCTTTAATAAATATGTAACAGGACTACTAGTGACAGTGTTACTCTGTATTTTTACAATTCACAGAGATAATTTAGAATATTTTTGAGAAGTGAAATACTTTTCCCCCCATTACTTAACAGATTTCTGGCTATCCTATCAATTGAGTCTTTTCCCCTCTCTCTCTCAAATGTTTTTCCAGTTTGCCTGGGATGAAAATGGATCCTGTGAGGTTAAAAATAAAGGATGAGCAAGTGGGAAGGCACATCAAACTCTTCACCAATAAAACAGAGAGAGAGAGAGAGAGAGAGACTGAAAATGAAGGTTGGTTCGGACTAGAAATTGTACATGAAGTGATTACAAACTGCTGAGACATATCCTGGGGCTTGTGGATACCACAGTGTGAACATGTGTTGTCATTAGGTTTTCAGGACTTTCTAAAATATACATGTACTGCCATAAAAAATTCAGCATTCATTCCTAAAACTTGTGAGAATAAATACTCTACTTGTTGATGTAAAGGCTCATTCCTCATGTTAAAATACAAAGGACACCCAGCATTTCTAGGCATGGGTTCATGCCTCCTTGACACACAGCTTTAGT